AACCGGTCAAGTGTCTAGTCCGAGTTACTCTAAAAAACCGGATGTAATAAAACTCAGTCAAATCCGGTCAAAAATCGGATTTGACCAGGTTTGATATCAAAGGTCCGGTGTAACGCGGAAAGAAACTTGATGAGGTGTCAAGTTTCGGCTTTACATTTCCTCCGATTTGTACTAAAAGAAGTCTCCAACTTTCAAGTCACCAGTGGTGGGAATCCTGGTGAGCCCGATGGAAAGATATAATGGCGGCCTTCTTAATTGAAGCAGATACCTGACATGCCATGCCCAGCAGAGTTGGAGACTTCAGCCTCAGTCCTGCAGCCCAATTTTTTTTTGAAAGGTCAAAATATTTTTAATATTATGTTTTGGCCCCTAGGTTATTAAAAATTATTAATATATCTCAAATATTTCATACTTTATAAATGCTGTCCTAAAGTTTGGTGTTTATTTTTCAATTAAATTCATAATTTTAATTCTAAACTTGTTAATGTTCATTGAATAATATAAATTGCGACTTGATCATTCTAATTTCTTTGTATTTTCTTGTTAAATATATTTGAAACATCAAATTTATATGAATATACATTTATTAATATTAACATGTTCTTAAGTATTTTACATATAATATTTTAATTTTTAAATAATTTTTTTATGACGTCATCCGGTTCAATCTCTATCGAATCCGGTCGAATCCATTGACTCCTAACCCCTGAGCTCGACCGAGTCGATGCCCGGTCCGAGTCTGAAAACATAGATATAAATGTTACAGCCCTTGTATCAGTCCTCTCTGGATGGTAAATGCACCTATTCGTTGACCAAAATGTAGAGGTATTGCAGAAGATGAAAGGAAGATTGTCCGGCGTATGTTTAAAAGAAAGTTTGATGATTGTGGTTTTAATAACTACTTCCAGTATAGCGCGGACTTAAAAGAGTGTTGAAAGACTTCTTAGAATTTGTGGTTCGGTTCTTGAATCTTTTCTTTCGCTGGACGTGCATATTTACCGAGTATTAAAGTCCCTTTTTGCTGATATAATATTTGATGTTGGACATTTGTGCTGATTTGAGGTGGGTAAGTTTCGTAGGACATGAAATTGACAAAGAGGCTAAATCAAATACTCCCTCTGTGCTCCTTTCGTTTCATCAAAAAAAAAAAAAAAATACTCCTCTTTGTCACTTTGATAACCTTGTTTTTTTTTTCATCTGTTCCAAATTATAGTCCACTTTTTAATTAAAGAATATAATCAATTTGTAATTTCTCTAATATATGTTTATATAATGTACTTTATTATTAATGAGTATAACCTACGTTATTCATTAATTGCTTGGTGTAAGGTGCAACTTTCCACAGTATTGTTGTAATTAATGTAAAAATATAGTGATTAGTCATACTTCTAATATCAATGTAAGGATATTTTAAGAAATCAGTAGTTTAAATTTACTCTTCTAACAAAATTAACTAATTTTTCTTAAAATGTGTTGAAAAAAAATCAAGACTATTGGGTCCTTTATTTAACTATAAATGGAATCTAACCTTTTTATTTCTAAATAAATAATCATTTGTGGGTCAGATGGATCCAATGTAAAAAATGGTTGAAATTTTAGATTAGAATCAAATTTTGTAAGAGACGCAAAATTAGTATTTTAAAAGTGAAAGATTGAAAATTTCATTTAACTAAATGTAAGGGACGTTTTGAATGATTTTTCCTAAATGCAAATATGATAATAATTACTAAGTATTACTAAAAATAAATAGAAACTATTAACTTTAAGATTACTAAAATAATCAAGAAACTTTAATAGAGTTCCAAGCCTGTGGCTGGGGAAGCCAAAAAAAATTTCAAGTGTGTGGCTGTGGAAGCAAAGCTCAAAAACCGCCTTTGTGTTGCTTCCATTCTCCACTTTCAATCTTAAAATCCCTATATCAATGTAATTATTAACAAGAAAAAAAAAGAAACTAGGTGAATTTCAGTGCCTATTATCCGAAACAATATTTTTTTGAAGTAAATTCCACAAACCCCTAAAAGTGGTTAATTTGGTCAATTAAAAGAAACAGAATTCATGTAACCTAATCCGCACACTACATTTGTGGGTGCATCTTCATCACGTCTTATACGAAAAAAATTACAGGGAATGTCTATACAATGATTTAGTGATTGTTGATGCCGGTGGTTTTATCCAAAAGAGTAAGGAAGAAAAAGAAAAACTGAAAGGAAAAAAGACCCAAAAAAATGTTATTTTCATAATTTTTGAAAAATACAAAATTAAATTCTAACAAATACTTTATACACATTGATACTATATTTGAATGGGGGAGGGATAGATTGGATGATAAGGAGGAGGAATTGCAAGTGAGAGATTTCGAGTTCGAACCCTCCCACTTAACATAATTCTGAGTAACTTCTTCATGCAAGAAAGGAAGCCAAGAGCTGATGACATTGACATCTACACCATTGTTGCCTTTGGAGTTACAATTCGAAATAGTAACAAATAAAAATGTTAATTCAATTGATGGGATTACTCCACATTTTTTCTAGCATAGCAATATCCACGACCAATGAAGACAAAAGAAAGCAACTAGCATTTAATAGGAGTAATTCTATGGTGGCAGTGCATATGAATAATTCTATGGTGGCAAAGCTTAAAAATCTTGTCTTTTCAGATGCAAAATGCTCGAGAGTTGCAGATATCTTAGTTGCTGAATTTATCAAATTCTTGTGTCCTTCAAACTTGAAGCTCATATGAAGAGGCAGTATGATATGGATTTGCCCTATCCAACTGCTAGTATTCATTATGATTATACTCATTACTATTATGGTTGGCAACGAGCTCCTACTCCAGTTGTTATTCTAGTTCTACTTACAAAATCATTGGCAACGAGGTACTTGTTTTATATGGGATGGCAATATATAACCTTGTGCCTGCCATCCTTGATGCAATCTTCCTATTGAAGCACAATCTTTCTATTGAAGCACTATTTTAGGAATTTGCTGTTGGGATAGCCATGCCGCTGTACTCGTAGTACTTGAGTTACTAGAATGAGCTAGTTGTTTTTCAGCTTTTATCATGGTTTTATTATTGGGACAGCCATGCTGCTGTACTCGTAGTACTAGAGTCACTAGAACGAGCTAGTTGTTTTTTAGCTTTAACGAGCTGGTTGTTTTTTAGTTTTTATCATGATTTTGAAGTCTGGTGATTTGTTTGGTGATTCTTTGTTCAATCTGATGACTTGTCTTCCCATATTTTTCTTTGTCATATCCTTTGCTATTGGGATAGTTTTGTGATAGTCATGAATGGATGAGATTGGATGGTTTTGTTACAGTTATGAATGGATCAGGTATTATGATTGATAAAGGTTATAGAATTAGTTATTTTGTGAAACTCTTATATTGTAATATGGTTGTAGTTGTTTTGACACTCGCTCAAATATGATTGTCACCGTTAGGGATTCAAACGAGTTGAATCGAGTCGAGTCGAATTTTGACCTAATCGAATCGAGTCTTGACGTAATTTTACAAAACTCGAATTCAAACCCAACGACCTCAAAATATCAAACTCGAGATTGAGTTCGACTCAAATTCGAGTCGAGCTTGAGTTCGAGTTTAAACAATAAAAAATAATTATTTTTAAAAAAAAATAAAATAATAATTTTTTTAATAAATAATAAAAATATTAGGGATATATATGTAATTTTACTATTAAAATAATATATATATATATATATATATATATAATCAAGCTCGAGCTATCTCGCAAGCAAACGAATTTAGTATTTTTGAATTCGAGTTCGACTTGGTCAGTTCGAATTCGATTCGAGTTCGACGTTGACCGAACTTGACTCGAGTTCGGACTCGAGCCGCTCGATTCGTTTGCAATCCTAGTCACCGTCTTTTGAGTTCCAATTGTTATGTTTCAATAATTTGTTCTTAAAGTGAGCATTCTAGAAAATGAATGAAACGGATGTGGTAGGTAAAAACTTGTTTATTGAAAAGATTAAAGTTTTTCCAAAAAAAAGTTTTTTTTTTTTTAAATCCATCCTTGAACATAAAACCAAACAACTAAGGGTGATACTCATGTATCCCACTATGAAACCAAAAACATTAGGGGAATCACCAAAACCCATTTTCATTATGGGCTAATGATGCTCATAGTGATTGTAATCGAGGAATGTTTACCAAACCGCCCCCTAGTATGTTTTGGTCAATTTCAATACATTTAAGAAAATTCATTGACCTTAGTAGATTTTTTTTAACAAGGGAATATTGGGATTTAAGAAGTGAAAAGGGGAAGAGAGATTTGAATTCAATACTTTTAATTTTTAAAATCTCAACCTTAACTATTAAATCAAAATTTCCTCGACAACCTTGTTACAAGTTAAATAATGTTCTTCAATTGATTAGCCGTTTGATCCTAATGTAAGAACATTAGAAATGGGGTTGTTTCATTTTTTGTGCTTAATTGAAAGCATATACAAACTTTTTTTTTTATCAATAATTGTTTTTAGTTCTAGATATATAACCGTTGTAAAAGTTTAATAATCATCTCAAGCAATCCTATATTCCTATTCATATTTTCTTAAACAATGCATCATTCAACAAATTTTATCACATTATAAGCCATCGATGTATAAAAGAATTTTCTTTTTTCTTTTTAATTTGGCATTTTACTTTGAGCATTTTTTCTTGACTAGCAATATGTGTAATAATGTAAGTATCACCAAACCCTTTTTGTTAAATTACTTCACATTATAACGTCTATTGCACGTGCTCACAATTGTTTATAAACAAAATTACGAGTTTCCATCATATTAATAAACTCTCACCTTCTCCCATTGCATGAGTGATCAACTTGTTTATCAATAGTAATTAGTACTCTGTTTGATTTTTCTTCATTCGATTTTTTTAATTGTCTCTATTGTAAATATAAGCTCAAATTTTCTCCCAAAAAAGGGGATTAAGGGGAGACACGTAAAGCGTGGCATCAGTAACGGGTCTTTACGAGAAAAGCGTACAGCTTTTCACGCTTTTCACTCCATAAACCCTACTGACCTTCAAACGGCCTGCCAAAACCCCTCTCCACTTTCTCTCCAATTCAACGGCAATGGCAAATCGACGTTGTATTCAAACCCTAATTAGCCGTTGTTTTTGCATATCTCATTCTCCAAACCCATCTCCCCATCCCATTCTCAAAACCCTAACTATAGCCCCTCATTTTCTCCTACAAACTGAATATTCCACCGTGCAATCCCTAACCCCGACGGATCCCGGCAAAATTTGTTCTGCGTTTCCGTCATTTTCGCGGCATCTCTGCTCCGATAATCGGACTAGTATGGGCAGCATTGATAATGATGGAGACGAAGAAGAAGAAGAAGAAGAAGATGATGATGATGATGAAAGTGAGGATGAAGAGAGAGTACATTTGAGTGGGAAATCAGATGAACAAAAAGCTGAAGAGGCCGCGGAAATTGGGTACAAAGTTATTGGCCTGCTTGAGGAGTCTGACCGGGTTTTTAAACCCTATGAGCCGGTTTTTGCAGTTGTTCAGGTAAAATCTTGATCATTGTAATGGTTTTTTTAGTTAATGAATTTTCATTGTGGAATGTGCATTTGGAGCAATTATAATGTTCGTCTTTTGGGGTTGTATTTGGTTTGATGGTGATTGCCAGGAAGAGGTGATTCTTGTACGTTTTATAGTTTCTGCTAATGAATTTTCGTCATAGAATGTGCATTTGAAGTAATTCAAATGTGCATTTTTTTATTGGGATAACTAGTGAAAAATTCCTTCTTTATTGTAAATATGATATAGACGGCTTACCCAAAAATAAATAAATAAATAAATTGATATAGACAGTGCAATTTTGAGTTCAAATACCATAAAGGGTATTTGTACTGATTTCAAAGTTATTGTGTTGGTACACAGGGAAAATGTACTTTGGTGTACAACAATATTATAGCATACATGATACAGCTGTCCTTTTGAATATATAACTCAACATTGGGCTCCTAAGAGTGCTCACTTTCCGCAAATTTTTGCTGTGGAATTTTCACTGTTTGAATGTTCTGAATGTAGCAAATGGGTAAATTTTCACTGGGAAAAGAAAAGTGGATTGCTCGAGGTATTGTTATTATGCTAAATGTGAGTGTAGAAATATATGTGATAACGATCATGTGGTTCTGTGTAGGTTGGTTCACATCAGTTTAAGGTGAGCAATGGAGATAGCATATTTGTAGAGAAGTTGAAGTATTGTGATGTGAATGACAAGGTGAGTGGTTTTTGTTTTTTTGTTTCTTATACAAATTGGATAAATATACTGTGTTAACTTTTCAATAGTTTTCTGTACTGAATGACCTGACTGAGTGCTAAATTTGTATAATGCAGATTGCACCAAACTGCTTTGTATTATTAACGTTCTAGTAAAAATTATTTTTTGTTATCTTTATAAAGTGGTTGACACCTTGACGGTGCATCTTGTTATGCATTTCAATGCCTTGTCATTAAGTTTTAGTGTGTATCCTAAAAGCGAAGCTTTCAAGAGAAGGCTGTGCTTTGTGTGGAGTATTGATTTTGGAAGTATTCGGCCCTACTTTTCATTGTTTAACAGTTGTTTCTTTTCTTTCCTGGTAATAAACCAAATCAAAATGAAAAAACGAGCTGCTGATTGGCATAAGTTGGAGGAATTTATCATATGATGGGCTTAGTTGATGTTTAATATGCTAAAAGTTCAAGCTTTCCCAGTAGTGTGAGAAAATAATTTGCTGATTGTTGTGTGCCAAGGGTTAAAGACTGATTTGCTTCCTTTTAGTTATCATGGTTGTGTGTTGGATCACTTATGTAGGAATACAGATGTTTCCGCTGATACTCATTGTGCCAGGCTGCTGTGTACTTCACTGTCTACTGTTCATTGATGAATGTCGATGCATATGTTGTTTACGAGTGTTTGGCATGTCTACTCGCTTTCCATAGCCATGAATGAATGTGGTGGATGAATGTACGTCACCACACTAGTCCAACGCTAGTTGTGGCTTCTTTTATCGTTTCCACTAGTCTAATGCTAGTAGGAATTCATAGGAAGGGCTAGTCCAACGCTAGACCCAATAGGATTTTCCCTTTGTTTTTCATTAATGCATTATTTGCCTGTTCACTACATATCATGCATTTTTCCTTAGTTTTATCATTTGGCATGCTCCTCGATTCCCCTTTCCCCTTCATTTTAGGCCTCTTGCATCCCATGCTAGTTATAGGGTCCATTTTGTTTGAGAGCCCCCTTAAATATGGGATATAGACGAGTGTGGCTTTTTCCAAGCCTTAGCACGCTTGTATTCCCTCTATCAAAGGGAAAATTAAGTCACAAAGTTAGGACTCCCCGTTCCCATCTTGATGCATTCCTATAGGATTCATGCATTTTTCATTCACGATCACATACATTTACTTTATATTCTCTCTCTTTTTCTACATTCTCACTTCACACTACTTTTACACATTTTTATTCAACTACTCACACTCTATACCATATCACTCGCACACATGCACTTTATATTATTTTCACATTATCATTCTTTACTCACTTTACCTTGTAAATACACTTGCACACCTCCACTTTTCTCACTTCACATAAACTTACAGTTTCACATGGCATGCATTCTACTCATTTTTACGTCATTTAGGATTATGTGTGACCTCTCCAAAGGATCATTATTGGGCTTCACAATTAATGTGATTGGCACCACTCGACCTTTGAAGAGAAATTTCCCCCATGTCCCCCTAGGTCTAGGTTTTTGCATTCATATAGACATATCCAACACGCGATACATACCTTGGGTAGAAAAATTAGGAAAAGTTAGGTTAAGTCACGCAACTAGCCTTGGCTAGGGTGAGGGACTGCCTTAGGCCTTGCCTTTGCCTTCTCCCTCATCAAATGTGACCCCCGATCCCTCTTTCTGGTTACGTAGATCCAAAAGTTCTCTAAAAGGGTTTATTTACTTTTTTATTCAAAAACGAAAATCATTTTTTGGGTGACTTGGTACACCCTAACTCTATACCAAGTGGCGACTCCATTTTCATTAAAAACCCTTTTTTGAACTTTGTTTGGCCAAATCGTCGCATTCTTAAGTCCCATGGCCTTTTACTTTTCATTTCGCACACGTTCACATGTATATCATACACACTACTCACTCTCACACACACATCATCCACACACAACATCATTCAAAAAGTGGGGCGCGACAGTTGGCGACTCCACTGGGGACTTCCTAAGTGGGTCCGAGCATTTGATTTAGCTACTCTTTTCCTTTTTCTACCCTTTTTATGCATAGCATTTGGATATTAGGGTGCATTTTTCCTTTTTAGGACTTTTTGCCTCGCGCACGTATCAAACTACTCCCTCACTCACGTACGTGTGATTGGTTGATTGGATGTATGTTTACTTGTTTATCTCGCGCTTGCATTGCATTTGGGAGGGGGCGTGTCACCTTTAGAGCCTCGCGTTGGTTCTCAACCCCTTCCCTCAAAATAGGGGAACACTTCATACGTGCATGTTTACTTGCTTTTATCCCATTTTATTTTGTTTTTCGTGGGCGTTATCCCACACCGCCTTGTAGGATTAGGATTGATTGCCTTGGGTAGGCAGATGGTGTGCACTGCGCCCATAGCGCTGCTTAAGGGATCACTCGACCCACCGATCGAAGGCCTTGGGAGTGATGACCCTTTGCCTTTAGGTCTGAAGGCTTGGGAGCCGAAACCTTATCGAGTCTAGTTGCATTAGTGAGCCCCAGCCTCATGCATCCATTATAGAATTTTCCTAGGTTAGAGTCGGCCTCACCCTTTTTTAAGCACATTAGGCACGAGGGAAGGGGTTCCACCCCTTTTACTTGTTTTTATTGTACCTCTTTTCTTAATTGCTCCCAATGTGTTATGTGTACTATCAATTGCACTAACCATTCTTTTGTTTTCTTGGATTGCATTCATGTGCCTTAGCAATAAGAGGCCTTTTTGGCACTCTTTTAGTGACTTACCCACTAGATGACTCACATGTTTAAATTTCAGTTATTGCACTTGATTTTCAATAAATACATTTCATTTTTAGACCTTTTCCCCCCGATGTATTATTTATGTCCTTTAGGCCATATTTGTCACATATTTACATCGCTTTAATAAATGGCATTATGCATAAACCATAGAAAGGGAATGCCACATAGGGAATCCCGTGTTTAGGAATAAGCCACCTTGTGTTTCGGATACTTAATCCAGTGAGACTTGCACGTTTACATTTTGTACCATCCAAAGGGGTAGTGCACAAGGTAAGGTAGGATCCGATCATTTGGAATATGAGCATCTAATAATCACTTTTTGGCCATTTTATCAAAATTGGTAAAAATCCCTTGCGTGAAGGACATTAATTTGAAGAAATTCACAAATGATTCCTCCTATTGAGACGATAAATAAATTGAGGCCAAAATTTGATTTTTAGAAGGTCATAGACTAATGCACCTCAATAATTTTGAAACAACCAATGGCCGGACAAGTCAACCAATCCATTTTGCCAATTCATTCAATAAATCATCAATTCATTTGACCAATTTACCCTTTTTAGGGTCACCTGGTCGATTTTTGAATAAATCGTCAATTCATTTGACCAATTTACCCTTTTTAGGGTCATCCGGTCGATTTTGAATAAATCGTCAATTCATTTGACCAATTTACCCTTTTAGGGTCATTTGGCCGATTTTTGAATAAATCACTAATTCAATTTCATTCATTTGGCCAATTTACCCATTTTTAGGGCAATCGAGCCGATTTTAAATAAATCAAGTTTCGTTCAATCTATTTGATCAATTTACCCTTTTTAGGGTGATCTGATTAATTTTGGATAAATTAAATTTCATTCAATTCATTTGACCTGTTTCCCTTTTTAGGGTAATCCGGTCCATTTTTAATAAATTGTCAATTTCATTTGACCAATTAGGATTTCAATGTCGAATTTCAAAATGGAAAACCTAGTCGATTTTGAGAAAAACATCCATTGCATCCAGTCATTTGATCAGTTGGAGTTTTGACCCGTACTTCACTGAGAAAAGTTGTCAAAACGAATTCCAATCTCTTCGATAGGAGGTTCGTTAAGGTTAAACCCGTGCGTTTTTGCAAGTTCTTGTATCGATCAAAAGTGATCAATCCCTTCGGACGAGGTCCTCATTTTAACAAACGTCTCTTCCCATTCCAATGGGCCAAATTTTTTCAAATCATTTTTCACTCCATAAGCTGATTGGATCCATCAGGTATTGTATAGTGCCTGCTCTAGAGGATTGCATTTTCATGCTAGGCCTACCCTTGGCATAAAAAGGGTTCCCCCCATAGGACATGCATACCGATTTTACAATTTTGTTTACTAACTCTGGGTATTTTTCTTTTATTTTTTCCCCTTCCTCCTGCATTCATAAAAATACTTCAATAAGGTGAAAATATCTTTCTATATCTGATGATAATTTTGATCTAATAAAGTTTGAAAATTACAAGTATTACTTGATTCTTGGGCAGGCCCTACAATATGAATTTGAAAATTCATTTGCAAGCGCTCGTGCAAAACATCTAAGGGATTTCATTACTCAAAAAAAGGGGATATGTGTATATATGTGCAAAGGAGTTTCGTAGAATTTTCCTCATATGTATTGCTTTTAAAATTTTTCAAACATTGGCAATAATGAAGCTTTTGTTCAGGCAATTATTTGTTTTGTATAATACTCGTGTACATTTCATTCTTTAGCTCATTAAGAGATTTCATGATGAATTTTAAGAAATAAGACCGAATTGAGAGTTTTTTCAACCTGCAACCTGAAAATTCGCAAGTGTATGCTTTCAAAAATCCTTGTGTACACTAGATTGCTGATCCAAGCTACACAATAAGAGTGTTCAAAAATTAAAAGAGTCACTCAGAAGGCCCATGAGATACCTTTCTCCTGCACTTAATCCCAAAATAAAGTCAGTCACGTTGATTGATAAATTGGGCAACTTTTGCTTGAAAATGTTCGAGGTGTCTAATCCGATTCATTCACATCTAAGTGAAAGCAAAAATGAGCATTATTCTTGTTTGTTTTGAAAATTTGGAATGATACTTTGAGCATTCGTTTCTCTACCTATACAGATTTTATCATTTGCTCTCCCCTTTGAGCCTATAAAAGAATAATTTCGTTTCAAATAAGAGTCTTAATGATCACTACCCTACATTGGGAAAATTTTCAAAAAGGAATGGATTCTCAACGAGCCAATTCGTTTACTTGGTTAACATGAGGCGTAAGAATGATACATTGGCCATCGTTTCTACAACCTAAACACCATTTATCCTTGCATCCTCATTTGAGCCAAAAATTGGTGGTTTTTTCGAGTGCACATATGATCGCACCCCACATTGGGGAAGGAGATTG